GTTCACGGCCACCGCGCGCCGAGGTGGCACAGCTGTGGAACAGCCCCGCACGGCACGGCTCACACTGCAGACACCCCACACTAGAGGAAGCAGGGGATGGCTCAGAGCCACCAAGAATAAGAGTTCGGTCTCTCAGTCCTGTGCCAATCTGGGCCTTCGCCTGTACCTACGGCAACTTCCCAGTCAGGGAGCTCTGACCAACAACTCCAGAGCCACAGAGGTCTGCTACAAACCAGGATGGAAAATCCAGCTTGTAGCAACCTCCTCTTCTCTCTCTGGCTATCAGGCACCCTGCCGCAAGCAGCCCTGTCGGCACCTCAGCCTCACCACGGCAAGCAGGATTTGAGGAGCGGCTCCCAGACGACGGAGACCTCCTCAAACGCTCGTTTCCCACTACTTGACGGGGATTAGGATTCAGACAGGACAGACCTGTCAGTGACCCCGACACGCTCTGCATTAGAGCGCTGCCAGACAGACATCCCTGCGGCACGTGCAGGGCCTCCAGCCTTCGCCGGGGAGAGCAGCGAAGCCCCCACGGCGCTGACGCCCTCCCCGGGCTTGGGACTCAACGTACTTGCCACATTTCACGCACTCTTCCACAAACATGTTCCCGTGCAGCTCGGCCAACTTGTCCCTGCAGAAGAAACAGCAGAGGTGAGCCGGGGAAAGGGGGGGCCCGGGAGCACCGGGGAAGCTGCCCAAACGCCTCTCCTCTTGGGGCGTGGGGGACGCTCGTGTCTGCGCCTCGGGGGCCTCCCCACTTGCCAGCTCTGCCAGACTAGGACATCAGGAGACGCAAGGGTGGCTGGGACCCCGTGCTACGGCCCCGGGACAGTGCCCTAGGATGGGGTCAACACTGAAGGAAATCACATTACTTTAACCCATCTGCTAGTGGCACCTTCAAATTAGGCCGATTTACCTCCCTGTGACAGGGTATACAAAACACCCTGGGGAGGGACAGCACGTCCTGGCTTTTTAATTTTAAATATTTCCAGCCACAGCACCAGTTCCAGCCCCTGTTCTGACCGAAGCCTCAAGCCTTGTTCACGTCCAGTAACTACCTGGGCTTTTGCTTTCCCCAACATGCAACGTTTTTCTCTCCGTCCTTCCACGGTTCCAGGCCTTGGCCAATAATCAACTCAATTCACCAACTTGGCAAGGGCAGCTGTCATCCATGAGAGCTACCAAGCACCCTGGAAAGCACCTTCACTGCTTTCACAAGATTCAACTCTCCTAGCAGAGCCCTTTGCTACAGAAAGGACGCTGCACGTTTTGACTAAAGCTTCCCCTTGCGCTCAGTGCCAGCCTCAAAGTGCTGAAGCTAGCGTAAAACAAGGCGACGCTCTTCCTGCGAGTCCCAGGATGACTAGGAACCTCCTCCAGGAGGAACAGAGACAGGATTGACTTGATTTCCACAATGCTGAACGACTTTAACCCCATTTCAGGACCAGTTACTTAAGCACGTGCTTTACTTGGGCAGAAGAGCTTGGGCTAAACCAGAGTGCAAGCCAGTGGCACTAGGCTGATAGGGGCACAGCTGAGTTCTGGGCCCATGAT